ACACAAGAATGAAGTCAGACACCTTATCTCTAACTAAAAATACTTAAAAAAATTAAAATGGATTTAAGATCTGAAGAACAAAAATATTAATCCGTAGAAAAAAACAGGTGTAATCTTCAGTTTTCAATTACACAGCTATTTCTTTTAAATGACATGAAAAACACAGGCAACAAAAGAAAAAATAGACGAAGTGGATTTTATTGAAATTAAAAACTTTTCTGCTAGAGACACTATCAACAGGGCTGGGGGTTTAGCTCAGTGGTGCAGCTGCCTGCCTTGCAAGTGCAAGGTCCTGAGTTCAATCCCCAACCCCCCCCCCAAAAAAAGACATTATCAAAAGAGCGAAAAGGCAAACACATAAAAAAGAAAACAGAATTTAAATGTTTTATTACCAAAAAAGTCAACTAAAAAAAAAAAAAAAGACAGTAAAGCAGGAGAAAAAGGACCAAAAAATCCTATAATGTATGATATGGAAAACAAATGACAGAAGTCAGTCTTTATCAGTGATTTAAATGAATTAATTCCAATCAAAAAGATTGGCAGAATGAATAAAAATATATGATTCAAATGTTTGTTTCACAAGAGACTCATTTTATATGCAAAGACATACCAGAAAGGATGGAAAAAGATGTTCTATGAAAATAGTAAACAAGAAAGAACAGGGTTAACTATAATAAGAAAAATACAGACTGAATCAAAAAGTGAGAGATTTATAGATTAGTTTTAAAAAGTTGAATACAACAAGGAGAAAAAAACATTTATGCACCTAAAAACAGACCAAGAAAATGTAAAAGGCAAAAACTGACAAAACTGAAAGGAAAAATAGTTCTACAGTCGACAACGTCAATAACTTGTTTTTAATAATGGATTAAACAATCTGTTGGAAGACAAGGAATTAGTTGACTCTAAACCTGAACATGTCTGATGGATGTATACAGAAACAACAGTTTTCTAAATAACTTCACCCACATTCTTCTCAAGTGCCTATGGAACATTTTCCAGGACACAGAATATGTTAAGTTACAAACTAAATCTCAACAGATTTAAAAATATACACAAGAGGATGAAGCTAGAAAGAAAATTGGAAAATTGACACATTTGCTGAAATTAAACACATTCCTAAACAACCAAAAAAGAGAACACAAGGGAAATTAGAAAATTAAGAAAAATGAAAAGAAAAATATATTAAAACATTTGGCATACAGTGAAAGCAGTGCTAAGGGGGAGGAAGTATAGCAATAAATACATTCCAAAACAAGGTAAAAAATCTCCTTTACAACATAAGGAACTGTAAAAGGAATAAACTAAAGCTAAAGCCAGCATAATAGAGAAAACAACAAAGATTAGGAAAGAGAAACAAAATTGAGAGCAGAAAAGAGAAATACCAACGTAAGCAGGTCAGTTCTTTAAAAAGATCAAAATTGACAAATCTTTATATGTCAAAAGAACTGAATAACCTGAATTAAATGGATAAATTCCTAGAAACATAAAACCCATTATATCTGATTTACAATGAAACAGAAAATCTGAAGAGACTTATAATTAGTAAAAAGATTGAATTAGTAGTCAAAAATCTCCTAAGAAAGAAAAGCCCCAAGACCTGATGTTTCACTGGTAAGTTGTACCAAACACTTGGAAGAATTGAAATAAACCCAGTCCTTCTTAAACTTCTCCAAAAAAATTAAAGGGTACACGACCTAACTCATTATATGTCAGCAACCCCTCAATACCAAAAATTAAAGATACTACTATTAGAGAAGACCACAACCGCTTATAAAAACAGTGATGCAAAAATCAACAAAACACTAGCAGACCGAATATAGCAGTATATACCATGATCAAGTGGGATTTACTCCTAAATGCAAGGATAGTTCAACATAGAAATTTAAAGAAAATTCAAATTAACACCACATTAACAGAATGGAAGAAAAAAAGTCATGCACGCATGCAGAAAAAAAAATAAAATAAAAACATGATAAAAACATACAACTATGAATAGAAGAAAAACCACCTCAATGTAATAAAAGCCACACATGAAAACCCACAGCAAACATCAAGCTCAATGTGAAAGAAAGCCTTTCCTGTGATACCAGGAGTAAGGCAAGGATGGTGTTTTCAGCAAAACTATTTAGCATAGCACTTGAAACTCCAAACAAAGGAACTGGCAAGAAAACATCCAAATTAGGAAGAAGTAAAATGGCTGATCCCACATATGACCACATAGCAAGAAAACCCTTACCCCCCCACTCTTATTAGAATACTAAGGAAAGAAGTAGGATACAAAGCCAACATACACAAATAAGTTACATTTCCATACACCAACAAAAATCTAAGAAAACAATTCCATATATATATAATAGCACTATAGAGAATAAAATATCCAGGAATTACATTAGCCAGAAAAGTAAAAGATTTGCACAACGAAAAACACTGCTTAAAGAAATGAAAAGTCCTAAGTAAATGGAAATACACACCCCATCTTCATACACTGGAAGACTTAATACTGATTAAAATTTCAATGCTACACAAAGTGATTTACATAGTCAATGCAACCCCTATTAAAATCCCAATGGGCCAGGATTTAACTCAGCAGCACTACACCTGCCTCAAAATCACATGGTCCTGAGTTCAATCCGCAATACAAAAAATAAAATAAAATAAAAATAAAACTTTACAAGGAAATAGAAAACACAATCTAAAATTCATGAAATTTCAAGGTACCTGGAATACCTAAAACAATCTTGAATAAGAACAAAGTGAGAACACTTACACTTCCTGCTTTCAAAATGTACTATAAACTACAGTAATCATTATGGGCAAAAAGGCAACACATGGACATATAGAATATGTGACCCTTGCATACACAATCTACTGATTTTGACAAGAATGCCAAGAACATTCAACCGGGAAAAGACGATCTTTCCAATCAATGGTGCTGGGGAAACTGAAAATCCAGTCAAAGAATGAAGCTGGATCTTTATCTAACAGAAAATACAAAAATGGACCAAAGGGGCCAGGGATTTGGCTCAGTTGTTCCACCGCCCACCTCACAAGCACAAGGTCCTGAGTTCAATCCCTGGTAGTCAAAAACAAACAAACAAACAAAAATGGATCAAAGAACTCAATATGACTTTTCCCCCCCAAGAGAGGGTCTTACCACGTAGTTCAGGCTGGCCTCAAACCTGGCAGTGATCCTCCTACCTCAGCCTCCCAAGAGATAGGATTACAGGCATGCACTATCACGCCTAGCCACTCAACATAGTTTAAAAACTAGCTCTTAATGTACTTTAAATAACAGCAATCAATGATGGGCTGAAGAACACTGTGAATATACTAGAATGCATTAACTCTTCACATTGTCAAGTAATGAATTTTGCCTCAATTTTGAAAAATTAAAAAAATGTCGGAACGTGGTTAAGATGCCAGTGGGAACACTAATTCACTGGTTCAGACTTGTGTCTTAACCATTTTCTAAAGAAATTAGGAAATACACAATTATATAGAATACAGCATGATCTTTCAGTTTTTTAAGGTGATAAAAGTTTTTTAAAAATATGCCCCAAATGTAAATGATGGTTATTTCTGGGCGACTTTGTTTATATATTCCTGTTGTCTAAATTTCCCACATACAGGGTATTTTATTTTTAAAATAGACAATTAACCTTAATAGAGAATATTAAAATAGCTATCAATCTACTCTGCAATCAAGCTATTCAGACTTTCAAATTCAAAGTAATACCGTACTTGCTTCCAGTTATTTTATTAAAACTGGTATAAGTTGAAGTTCTTTAACACTACTTCAATATAACACATCTTTTTAAAAAAACCAATTATCATAAAGTTGTATAGAAAAGACATGCCTTTTTTTAAACTTTCATCATAAACTAGACAGTATGGTTTGTATCATTTAAAATTGATAAAAATGATTTATCATATTATACTTTTTCTTCTGCAACTACCTGGCATGTATTATCAAAACCAACCCACTTTTATATGTATTATCTCTGTAATTTAAAAATTATGATGATTAAAAGCCAGTAAACATTATATTAAGGTTTTTCTTCCTTCAGCTACACTCAAAAAATTGAGACTAAAAAATATTCTTTGATGACTACAGCAGCACTGGCAATATCCTACTACTTGTCCTCATCTTTTCTACGGGTGCTTCTTTCTTCTAAGAGTAGACTCAAGATCAGGAGACTATCATATTGTAACACTCTCTTGGAATTTCAGGCCACAGCAAAAATATTCACTAGCCAAATAGTTTTAAACATTAAGTTATCAGAGAAAAAAAATCATGCTGTGTTCACTCAGCTCCCTAACAATATACTTAAATATATTTTTAAAAATTATAAACACAAAGAAATTTTGGGTCAATTTTCACCACTAGAAAAGTATAAAGTGTAAGCTAAAGCTACAATAACAAATGTAAAGTTCTAAGTTGAAGCCAGTACAAAGTACCATAATATAAGCAGGAAAACATGAACTACATTTAAATTAATTTGGCAACAACAAAATAAATAATGCTAGTTTCTAAAACAGATTTTAAAATATTGAGCCATCAAACCAAATTTAAATTTTCCTAGGCAACTATTTAACTATTTCCCCCCAAAGCAAACAAAATCTCCCCAAGTTGTTTTTTGTGTCATCACTTGTAATCAGGAATACTATTCTGAAAATTAAAATTTATGTCTATGCATTAATCTAGCAACCAGAGAGAAAAAATAGTGCCTGACATATGTATTTTAAAACGTTACCTATTATTAAACTTATTATATGTGCTGCTGAAGTAAACACCGTGAGTTGAACTATTTTATTCATTTAGGTACCAGGGACTGAACCCAGGACCTTGTGCATGCAAGACACAGTGCTGCTCAGCTAAATCCCTGGCCCATTAAACTTATTATGAACAGTGCCATCTTTGTATGCAACTTTAATTGATAAAAGCATTGCAGTAGAAAGGTCATGGACATTTATGATAGCAAAACCTTGTTACTTACCCACAAGTAGTATGTGAACTGAAGTGCAAAAATAGCAATGCCTTCATTATCAAAGGATCCAGCTACTGACCGAGATATATACCCTGGTACAATAGCAATGAAACAAGCAGCTAAAAGTCCTGCTCCTTGGTTCCAAAGTTCTCTGGTAAGCAGGAAAGTAGATATAGATGTAAGGCCGCTAAAAGTTGGTGCAAGGAACACACATACATCTCTTATGTGCACTGTTATGTTCAATGTATTTAAAATCCAATGGATAAGGCCAGCTGTTATCATCAACCCTGGATAAACCTAGAAAGAAAAAAAAAATGTGAAATTTAATTACATATAAACTGAGGGGCCCTAAAATAGTAACATTAGTTCTCTAATTTGTTATTACATGTTGTTCATAGTAAAAGAGAAAAGAGAAAAAAGATATCAAAATAGTTTGTCTTTTCTACACATTACAAATAAAATCTTTTGGGGGTAGATACAAAAACAAAACTCTTATTATATGGAAGATCCAGGCCTTTAAATCCAAGGCTTTTGCATTGAGGTATAACATCAGATTTTCTCCTCCCCACCCCACCCCCATCTCACAAAATTGCCCCTTCTTCTATCTCTCAAGAGTAATGGGATTATAGGTATAAGCCACTACGCCAGGTTCCCCATTAATTCTTTTTCTCATGCCTACGTACTGTCTCAATCCAACCTACCCTTCAAGATTGGGACAATAATACACTCAATTTTATTTATAATGTATGTACACAATAGGAAAAAAGGGAGACAAATTTTTAAAAGGCACATGAGATGCAAACTTTATTTAAATTGGTACTTATAAGTGAATCTCTCCTTTAAAGTTCAAAAATTAAAAAGGAAACAACTCTAGCTATGAAAGTCCAAACAGTTGGTAAATTCAAAGATAATGTTTGAGACTCCTAAAAGGCTTAAAGTTTTAATATCACAAAGTATTTAGTGACTGGAGGGAAATAAGACAGAAGTGGCAGTTACCAGTCACACACACTCTTAAGAAATGATAAATAGGCCATTATTTCTGAGCCATTCTTCAGTTATTAAAACTGCAAATCAACCCTTTACCCCCATGGTCTGTAACTCACTCCTGTGCTTTTTCTCCATATCATTCATCATCATTTTACATTCCATTTATCTTATGATTAACTATATCAACTGCCCACACTCCCAACAATATAACCTCCAAAAGAGAATGTTTTTTATTCACAATGAGAACAATAATTAGCACAAAGTAGATACTCAATATAGAAGAAAAGGAAAAAGGGAAAGAAGATAAAGTATGATTCATCATCACTTAAAAAAATAAAACTTTTATACTATTTCATATTCAATACTCTTCCAATACTGAAAGAAAATGGAAATAAATTTGAAACTACCTCTCAACTTAATATGATCTGTGCAACATTGGAAATTGAGCTGACACACAAAAAAAGGCAAAAAAATAAGAAGTATTAGAGAAAAGAACTCAAAAACAAACTCCAATAGCAAAAAAGATGTATCAAACTCAACAAGTCAGGGAATTCTCCAGATGCAAAAAATGACAAAAATTCAGTTAGGTACTGATACCCCACCAGAGAAAGGAACAGCAAATATCCCAGCAAACCATGCCCAATATAGATTTAAGAACTGGAGACTGGGAAGATTTAACCCAATACAGGGATCAGATACAAGACTTAGTTCATGGCACAAAGCCACATACTCTTTCTGGTTTAAACTAGACAAATTCTACTTATTCATTTGCCTCCCTTCCAAAGCTTTGGGTAGGAACAAAATTCTAATATAAAAGTAAGAAAATGATTGAGATATGTGAATGGAGGTTCAAATTAATAACAACACTACATATAAGAAACCTCAAGCTGAGAAATAACCTGTAAAAACTTTCCAAAAGGAAAAAAAAAGCCAAAACTTTCCTAAAACCAATGAAGGCACTGAAGACTCCAACAAAGACAAGAGAGAAAGATTATTATAGAGATACTATAATAAAAATCTTAGGCCAGGGATTTAGTTCAGTGGTTCCGCCGCCTTTCTCATAAGCACAAGGTCCTGAGTTCGATCTCCAGTACCAAAAAAAAAAAAAAAAAAAAAAAAAGGAAAAAAAATAGCAAGACTCCATTGAGGATGAATTCAAGATAAAAAGTTGCAAGCATGCAAGGAGCCAAATTATAGTCATCAATATTAATAGTGTGGTATATAAGTAACACCATAAGAATTACATCTACGTACCATTTAACACCTCTAATTCCCACTGAAGACAGGATAAGAAGATCCCCCAGACTAGAAATACAGTCCTTCACTACCATAGGAGACCTTCTGCTAAACACAGAGGCAACATGTACAAAATGTTGATATATCCTAAGCCACAATTCAAGTACTGAAATTATACTGAATCACAATATATGTGAAACATTACAAAGATAACAATGAATCTTCTCAGAAGTTAAATATAATTATAACTCATAAATCAGAGGAAATTATAATGGAATGATAAAAATATATACACATCAAAGCTTGTGGAATGTTGTTACTGCTATGAGAAAGTTACAGCTTTAAAATGCATCCACTAATAACAAAATTTAGCAAATCACTTTAAAGTCAGAAAAAGAACACCAAAATAAACTCAAGAAAATGGAAGAGAGAAAATAAAACAAAAAATATGAGATAATCAATAGTCGAGTTTCTTTGGATCAAGAAATACTAAATATACAGATTTATGCCCAGTTTCTACCTCAAAATTATACCTTAAATCCAGAAGTATTTTCCTTCATGTCATCTTTTTAGACCTCAAAATTCTCTATGAATTATATTCTATACTCAGGTACATAGAATAAAGGAAATTGGAGCCTGAAAAATTACAATTATTGGACTATTCTAAATTTTTTTTTTACTATTCTAAATTTCTATCTCCTCCTAAAAAAATATTTTTTAAACCAAATTGTTACAGGGTAAAGCAAGAACACAGAATTTGAACTTCAGATATACTGTGACCTTGTGTTCCTATCCAATCTCCACTACTTGCCAGGGAAAATGGCTAGAGCGAGAGAATCCCAAAACAGGTATATATGTGATGCAGGGAGTGATCAAGAAAAGAACTGAAGGGTGGGGATTCAGCTCAGTGGCACTGTGCCTATCTTGCAAGTTGCAAGGTCCTCAGTTCAATCCCCGGCACCAAAAAAAGAAAAGCAAAATGCATTAGTGAACTACACAAAGCTTTCAAGAAACCCTTACCAATTTATGTAATGATAAAATTGTACACTTAAGATAAATAACTAATATACTTACAGTACCACCTACTATTCTTCCTAGTGGATACCATGCTCTTTCATCAAACCAATTTAAAAACTCATAGAATCCATGAGATGCAAGATGATGTGTTGATCTATAGTTAAACCTACAAGAAACAGAAAAAGAAATGTTATAAAACTGCTAACCAAAAAGAAATAGCTTTTATTTCAATGAAAAAAAGAAAATTACATTCTGTGGACAGAGAAATATATTTTGCACAGTATTTTTGTCAAATTTAATAGATAAAATAAATTTAAAATATCAAAGGAATATGCTTATGCCTCCAATTACCCTCCTTCAACCCCATGCACACAGGCTAAATAATGCTCAAATTAACATTTAGCCATCATCCTGAGGTTCTGGGCAAAGAATGATAATTTGAACGAAAAAAACAGGTAAGGGTCCACAGAATTCACTCATGATCAGGAAAGTTCATGACTGTCAAAGGAACCACTGACAGAAGATGGCATCAGAATGGAAAAGGAATATGTGACATCACTGCTAAAAATTAAAGAGAAAAACTACAGTAGCACTTAAGCACTAAGATAATAAACCATAATTTCACTGTAGAGCAAAAACATGTATGGTAATAAAGATAAATTATATTTAATCTTTGGAAGACAAAGGACAAATGAGAGGAAATGAACCAAAGAAACCAAAGGCCAAAATACAAGCAGAAGAAAAATGCAAAACATCCAGGGAAGTTCCAGGGATAGTCTATGTTTAGTATAAAGCAGCTACAGGGCCAGGTATGGTGGCACATGCCTGTAATCCCAGCACTGGGGAGGCTGAGGCAGGAGAGTCTCAGCAAGTTCATGGCCAGCTAGGGCTACATAGTAATTCAAGACCAGCCTGAACTACATACCAAGACATTGTCTCACAAACATACAAACAAACAACAACAGCTATAGGGGGCAAAGAGAACTCTGGAGCAGTCCACAAGGCAAAGACATTAGAAAAAAGTCAGGCAATTAATTGGATCCTCTCTCCCAACTATTGTCAAGAAGGGAAGCAGCCTATCTGAGGGAGGAAGCACTAAACGTTGCAAATGAGGTTAAGAGGCAGAACTATGCTGGACACAGAAGCTGTACAAGAAATCATTGCACCCAAATTCAGTGTGATACATACTTCCCAACAGCCAAGTCATAACACTCCCCTTCAATAACCACTAAGCTATGTAGCTTCTAGATAGACTTTCCACAACCAAAAAGTAAGCATTAGAGAAAGTATGCACCACAAAAGCTAACCAACAAAGTTAGCAAATACAACATAGGAACAGAAACAAAATTATCTTTATTTAGAGGGCTCTGCAAGCCAAAATATCCTGAAAGAAAGCATAGAGGTTAAGAGTATGGGTTTTAGAATCATAGTGCCTAGGCTTAGATCTTAGTTCTTTTTATTTTACTAGCTATGAGACTTTGGTTAAGCAAGTTACTTAGGCTGTGTGTTCTCTAGCTGCTTCATCTATAAAACACAGATAACAATAGCACCAGTATCATATGGCAGCTATGAGTAAACAATAATGTCTCTGAAACACTTAAAGGCTACTGCTACTGTAAATAATGAAATAGACATAATAAAATATCCATTTGAAATCCTAAATGGAAAATTAGGATTGTTGAAATATACAAAAATCAAACCTGAATAGTATAGCAGACAAAAGAGCAAATTTTAACAAAATAAAAAGTAGTACGCAAAGTTAGGCAATCTAAGAAAAACCTAAAAAGTTCTTGACACCTCAAAAGAATTATTAAGGACTACAGAGGAGTGGGGGGCGGGGACACAACTCAATAAATTCTAAAATGCTAAGGACAAAGTGCAATTTAAAATCATTCATTCAGAGAAATAAATGGCATTTCTATAAAGTACTAACTAAACAGATCATATTTCTCAGTGGGAACTGCTGGAAGCCATAAAGCACTGGAGTAACATATATTTAAAATTTTTGGAGAGGATTTTAAATGATTTTAAAATCAGAATTTTAAAGTAAAACCTTGTTAGGAACACAGATGACTAACATAATGCTAAAAATGCTACCCTCCCCAAGAAGCATTCACATGAGTTGAATTTAAAAAAAGAAACACCTACTCAAATGGAAAAGTATTTATTGTATTCACACAGCCAAGACTATGCAAAGACTGTAGTAAGCAGGAGACAGAAAACAATATACTCACCACATGGAAGTAACAGTATTTTTCTCTTCTCACAGGAAAAAAGACTCCCATAAAAACAAACAAAAAAACTAACCCAATTTTTGTATTTAGTGTCATGCAAAGTAGTCTAAATTTATAAGGTATCCTCAAGCCATGAAATTATCATTGGAAAAAAAGACTCAAAAATCTAGATTAGTAATACAAACAAAAACCAAAATGCTCTGGATACCTAGATGAGCTTGTAAATAACAATTAAATTGCACAGGGAAGAGATTCACCATATGAAAGTAAGTACATAGATTAATACTCCCAAAACAAGTTGAAGAAACCATAAATCTAGGTATGACCCTTGAAAGTTCCTTCTTTCTCATATCTTACAACAATAGTAACAAGGCTTAACTTCAAATATCTCTACAACTTGTCCATTATTTTTCTACTTTGCTACTAATCAAGCTGCCATCTTTTAAAATACACTGAATTTAGTCTTTACCTAATCACCTTTGATCTATGGATTCCCTGCTGATTTCCCAATCTGTGTACCATGTCAAAAGTAAAGTCTTTTCAAAATGCAAATGTGATCATACTGCAACTCTTTATTCAAATTATTCAAATGTTTCATCTCTTAACGTTGAAGAAGCCTCTACTTAATAGTTGAAACTACATATAGTATAGCTCTTACATAACTCTAAAACCTTAGCTCTTACCACACTACTTCTCTACATATACCCACCTTTCAGTTCTCCAGATTCATCTCGTTCCCTCCTGCCTATTCCCCTTTGTCTGGGTTCATTGTTGTTAGCCTTTTAGCTTGGTTAACTTATCCTTCAAAGTCAGCACTTTTCTAGGGGATGCTATACAGAAAAGGTTCAGTGTCCTCTTTTTTTCCTTCTCCTCCTCGTTCTCCTCCTCCTCCTCCGGGTCCCCGCCCAGCACCCCTCGCTCCAGGCGG